TTGCTCAAGGTCACAGCAAATCAACAGCAGAACTGGCAAGGGAGCCACGCAATTGCCTCTCCCACCCTCATCTCATCAGGCCCCACTTCTCCCACCAAAATAGGGAAGACAGCCCCATTCTTACCTCCCGCCATTGCTTGGTCTCTATGCCCTGGGTGTACAGCACACACACTGCGGAGAGAGAGAACAAAAAGTGGGTTAACGTGGGCAGAGCTGAACTGGCATGTTCCTCTCCTTGGGGCCAAGGGACCAGCACACTGTAGCCTTCCAGAGGGCAGGACCCTAAAGTCACTGCTGTGATTTGGAAGTAAAAAACTGGTCCCTTGAGAGGGTCTCTCTGGCCTCCCCCCATCTGACACCTCCCCACTGATCAGCATTAGCTGCACTGCAACTAGCTGCTAGTTTGCTCCCACCCAGACCAGAGCCACCTCATGTCACAGGTCTACTAAGAGAGATTCCCCACCCCAAAGAGGAGACAGACAGAGGGTGGGTGGGGTGCTCCCCTAGCACACGCGTTACTGCACACACTTGCCCTGCTTGGACACACCTGAGATGCCTGCTGCCCTCCTGTCCCACAGATCAGCGCCAGGGAGGCTGAGCTGAGGCTAAGCTGCCTAATGCAGATGCTTCTGAAATGGTTTCAACACAGGCCAGGTCATCCCCCGCCTGGCAGGGCATCACCCGGAGGCCTGGGCGGAGTCCCCATGCCAGGCTGCCAGATGCTCAGAGCAGGGACTCCCTGCGCTACCCGACTGCCATTAAGGGAAGCCTGGAATCCACTGGAATACTCAACACGAGGGCCAGAACCTGGAGACCTCTGCTCCGAGGAGGGGAGAGGCCTCCTGCAGCAGGCCTAGTAGGAGCCGTGCTGCGTTCACCCAGGTCGCAGAGTCCTTGCCCAGCTTTGTGGCTGCCAAATGGAGCGGCAGTGGAAAGGCCAACAGGAATTATTCTGAGTCATGGCAGCAGGAAACCTCTGAGCCCAGCACAGCCCAGCCTGGGGAACTCCAGCCAACACTCCCCAGCTCCCTCCTCAGGAGAGCGGATGATGGGGCTGGCTCACCTGCCCCTCCTTCAGCCTGAGTATCACTGGGGAACGGGCAGACAGCCACGAACCAGCTCCTGGCCGGCTCCAAGGGTGCCAGGCTCCACAGAGCTTCAAACCTAGAACACCACCTGTCCAGGGAATGGGGGTTCACACCCCATGGAGGGGGCTTTGCACTGCGAACTACATCCCCCCACTGCCCAGGGCAAACCCAGCTGAGTGAAGGGTGCCTTGTCTCTGAAGCCCTCAAGCCTATATGAAGAAAGAATCAAAAGGCTGGGACTTTTCAGTTTAGAAAAGAGGAGACTAAGGGGGACTAATAGAAGAGACTAATAGAAGTCGATAAAATCATGACTGGCGTGGAACAAATGAATAAGGAAAAGGTATTTCCTTGTTCCTGTAACAGAAGAACTAGGGGTCACCAATGAAATTCACAGGTAACAGGTTTAAAACAATCAAAAGGAAGCTTTTCTTCATGCTGTGCACAGACAACTTCTGGAACTCCTCGCCAGAGGAGGTTGTGAAGACCAAGACTTCAATAGGGTTCAAAAAAGAGCTAGCTAGATTCCATCAATGGCTGTTAGGCAGGCGGGGTAAGGAATGGTGGCCCTCGCCTGTGTGTGTCAGAGGCTGGAAATGGATGACAGGAGAGAGACTGCCTGATTATTTCCAGTTCTGTTCAGTCCCTCAGGCGCATCTGGCATGGAGCACTGTGGGCAGACAGGACACTGGGCTAGATGGACCTTTGGGCTGACCCAGTACGGCCGTTCTTATGGTCTAAGCCCTTTCTGCTCAGGGCTTGGCATCCCCAGCAGGGAGCAAACAGGCAGCGTGGGACATAATCTCCCAGGCCTGGCAAACATGCAGTGACTGAAGGGGGATGTTCGGGTCACATTTAGAAGTAGCCAAAGATCACTTCATTAGCCCCCCAGGCCCCCCACTTCATGGCTCTCTGGGCTTGGCCCAGGAGGCAGCAGCTGTGCAGTCAGGGTCTGAGACACCTCCTCTGATCACACTGCGCTGGAACCCCCAAGTGCAGAGCCCTGCCCTGCCAGGGAATGGGGGGGAGCTGTGTGACGCCACCCTGCCCCTCTCCTGGCTGGGAATGAGTGGGGGTCCAGCGCGGAGGCTCCCTTAGCAGCACGTTGGCCACTGCTCCTGAGCAAGCCCCCCACAGGCACAAACGCTGAGTGGGCGTGGGGGAGGCCTCGGTGAGCCCAGACCCCTCCTGGCCTGGGTGAGCACAGGCAGAGTCTGCAGGGCCCTACAGCGCCTGCCCCCGCAGCCTGTCCCCTTGCCACAGGCAGCCCAGGAACCCCACACGTCCCAGCACTGCGGCCCCAACAGAGCCAGGCCCGGAGGGGTAGGGGCTTGGGCCCCCCAGCACCCTTCCCACCTGAGGTGCTTGAGCCAGTTCCCACAGGGGCACCCCCCACTGACCCCTTCGGAAGTGTTTCCATAGCAGCCTGGCTCAGCTGGGCTGTCCCTGTGCCTCAGACTTCCACAGATCCCCGCCCCCCAGGAGCTGCTGCCACAGGGCTGGCCCCTGGCTCCTGCCCCTGGGGAACCAGGCCAATGGAGCTGCCAGGCCCCAGCTCAGGGCCCGTCCAGGGCCCACGTGCAGGCTAGTCCTGGCTGTGTGTCCCACACCAAGGACCGGGACGGTGGGAAGGGCAGGCTGGCGGCCCAGAGCCCTGTGGCACAGACAGCAGCTGCCTGCCCCCTGCTGCGACCTGGCCTGGTGGGGTGAGACATTCAGCCCCCCACCTCTCTGCTGGGGCAGCCAGTGCCAGTTAGGCAGGTGCTAATACACTGGCAGACCAGGCGCCAGCTCATGCCAAGGGGCCCGTGACTTTGTGGACATGGACAGATCCACAGCTGGGAACGGCCCGCCCATCTGGGTGTGAGCGTGCAAAGGGGTACGAGATTTGTATGGGCTTGTTCAGTGCCTGGAGTGCGAGTGCTTGGAAGTGGCTGCCAGAAGCGTTCCCTGTAAGCGGAGAGAGTCAAGAGCCCCCCGGCTGACTAGCAGAAGCCCACGGCCAGCAGCCTGTGTTTCCATTGGGCCACACATGCCTCAGCGCACAAACAACATGAATTCTGCCCACGGATGGAAAACGTTAGAGGGAATACTGGCTGCTGGTGTTAATCCCTCCCACACATCGGTATCCCCTAGTGCCTGGTTGTACTGTGAACTGCTGTGCTGGAGGGACCCATAAGCAGGAGCAGGGCCGGATTAAGGGGGGCTAGCCAGGCAGCTGCCCAGGGCACCAACCTATGGGGAGCGCCTGATGGCAGCTGCAAGGGACGCCGCGTGCCCGGGGGCTGTGCGGTGCCCCTTAGAGCTGTAATCAGGCACCGCGCGCCCGGGGCTGCTCCTTAGAGCCGCCATCAGGCGCTGCGCACCGGGGGCCGTGCAACACCCCTTAGAGCCACAATCCGACACTGCGCGCCAGATTGCAGCTGTATGGTGCATGCGTTGTGTGCCTGCTGCCCGGGGCGCCGGAATGGCTTGAGCCGGCCATGGGCAGGAGAGACGGCCACCAGTGTGAAGGGCTTGCCCCAGAGAGCTCCAGCGATGCCAGATAGACTATTGGGAGCTGTCGAGGAGGGCGGAAGATGCTGGCGGGTCTGCCCTCGCCCTGAACATAGGCCATGCAAGCGGATTGCTCCCTTTGGCTGAGTTTGCAGCTCTCAGCTCATGGGAGGAGGAGGAGAAAACACCCCAGAGGAAGGAAGTGGATCCCTGTGCAGCTTGGACTCAGGGGTAGGGGGCAGAAGGCTGGGGGAGCAAGAGACCCCAGAAGCCTTAAAGGACGCATAGAACTTGTTCGTTATAGAAGCTTCTATTCCACAAATAAGTTACAGCCTTTCATTGCAGAAAGTCTCTCTCTGCACCTGCGTCCACCTTGCAGCTGCTCCCACTGCCTGCTCCTGGCTAAGCAGTCTGCAGTTTGAGGCGGGCTTGGCTGCAGTTGTCTTTGAGGCGAATCGAGGGGGCAACGGACCTGGTCTGCTGGGAACGGGCGCTGCTGTGGTGTGAGGGGGCAGCTCTCGAGACCCATCGGCGTGCCCACGGGCCAGCGGCATTCAACCCTGATACGTGGCTGCTGAAATCAGCCAATGGGGCGGGAGCCCTGAGGCTGGTACATGTGCTTGCGTCAGTCACGAGGAACCAGACGGAGACCCCGCCAAACCGTCCCTTCTGGCCTGGACGCTCTAGTCCCAACCCCCAACTCTGAGCCATCCAATGCCCCAGCCCCCTCCCCAGATAACAGCTCCAGTGCAGCCTCATGTGCGCATGCCATGACTCTCCGCCATCGTTCCCACTCCCGGAGGCCAGCCAGGCCCACGGGTTGCTAGCGAGCTGACCCAAGGGGATTCATGGCTAATTTCACACCCAGAACGGGCTGGGCAATAGCAGAGGAGAGTGGGATCGGAGAGGCACTCGCAGCAGAGAGCCATTTGGAAACAAGTCCAGGAGCTGTGGGCTGGACTCTATTTACTGAATGGAGCGGATGCTTACTAGGCAATTTCCACCCGGGCCTCCCACAGGGTTAGTGTATTTCATCACAGGCCTGTGCTTATCCTAGTGGCGCGTCACACAGCAGCACCAGCTGATCACACGCTGCACTCAGTGTGCTTTAAAACGGGGGGAGGGGTCCCGGTACAATAAGCCAAGTGCCCCATGTCACCCGACACGGGCTGAGGTCCCAAACATCTGCCCTTCGTTTGGGGTTTTGCTGGGTTCCAATTTTGCACAACTGCTCCTCATCTCATCTGGCAAAGAGCCACCACGAGACCCCTGCCCCCTCCCTGCTCCCCTGCTCCCCACAGAGTCTTCCTGTTGGTGCCCCAACCCCCAGTGCTGAGACCCATTGCCCCCAAAGGCCTGCACTGAGTGTCCCTTTGGGGGTGCTCTGGGGCTGCCTGGCCTGGAGTGGACGTTCCTACAGCTTTGCACATCCCTTTCCAGGAAGGTTTCCTCCCCGCTGTGGGCTGGCTGATCCCACTTGGCCATTGCTTGCCTGACCCTAGTGCTGCACATGGGGCTTGCAAACCAACGTGTGCAAGCCTCTGGCTCCACCCCAGCTCCCAACAGGGACAGAGACCCTTCCTTGGCAGCCTGCCCCTTCGCACCTAAGTCTGCAGCCCCTGGAGGTGGAGGGGGTTAGAGAAGCCCCCACGTTTGAGAATCCCAAGCTCCAACCCTCTGAGTGCCCCACGTGTATTCCAGCCTCCCCCCACCAGGGTCAATAGCAGTTGCACAGAAGACCCCCAGCCTCCCTTAGCACATCACCACTGGAGTGTGGGGAGTGAGACCTAGTGGTCAGAGCAGGAGGCAGGCCAGAGCAGTGTCCCAGACAGGTTAGAGGGCAAAAGCGAGAGTTGAGTGAGAGCACAGAGACCAGCTCCCAGCAGCAGGAGGGACTGAAAGCCAGCGCGGGGCCAGGGGCGCAGGAAGCTCTGCACAGCAGCCAGGTGGATCTGTCTCAGGGATGACTTGCTGAGCCCACGTGGGGGCTAAGGGCGGGTCGTGCGGGCTACAGAGTCTGGGCCCAGCACTCTGCCAATCAGACCCTAGCACTGGGGCCTCTGGCTCTCACCAGCTCCTGGACCCCAGAAAACAGGCTAGATAGCCCCAGCCCCAGCCAGCACAGCCCTGTCACTTACTTGGGTCAGACTTGGAGAAGGTGTCCTTGTCCAAGAGGTGCCTAGAAGGAAGCAGAAGGGAACAGGTTAGGGTGAGGCTCCAGCTGCTCCCCAGCAAACAGGTCCCCACCGCTTGGAGACTGGCTCTGGGCATGAGCCACACCTGGTCCCTAGCTCCCTCCCACTGCCAACCTCCTGTAGACTCCTGGCCCTTAAACCCCTGCCTCCTGCTCCTCTTCCCCCTCTGTCAACACACCTCGGTTCTAGTGCACAGAGAAAACCAAAAAACAGACACGCTTCATGGAGGGAAGGGGGGGCAGGAAGGGAGCAGTGCTGGCCGGGAAGGGAGGGGCCTGGAAACAGCTGGGGGAGGGGGGCAACGGGGCTGGCTGGGGGAGATGGGGAGGCCAACGGGAAGCAGGGCTGGTCGGGGAGGGGGGGTCGGGCGGAAC